AGAAGCTTTCTCGCCTCGAGATTGACATTTCGCGTCAGCGATCGCGCTTGCGCGATCTTGCCAAGCAGCGACCTCGACTGGCCACGAGACTTGAGGAAGAGCGCAAACGCTTCGAGAAGATGCGACGAGTCGAGAACACACTCCGTCGCTTGAGACCAGAAGTGTTCCTCACGTTAGGCGCGGAAGCCAAGAGCGAGTTCTACCGCAGCGAAGACGGCTTGCAGCTTCATATTGCGGGCGGCGCAGAAGGAGTTACTACCCAGTCCGAGTATCACGGCCAAGGCGGCGACATTTCAGACAGTGGCCATCGCACGCCCATGACTACGGGCCCTTCGCCTTTGGAAGTGTATGGCGACGAAGGCGATTATGCTGTTGGTCTGCGAACCTCAGTCAGCTTGCAGCGCGAAGCGATGAGCGTGTTGCGTTCCCACGAAAAGCTCTGCTACAGTCAGCTTCTTCTCGCAGAAGCAGCATTGCGCAATTGCATTGCCGACATCCTCGACTTGGCACTCATCTTGGAGAGCCCGCGCAGCGAGCAGGAAGCTCAAGACGACCGCAGTGTTTCACGACGACTCAGCTTCTCGAGCTCGCGAGCAGAACAACAACGCCGAGCTCTGACCGACGCACAGTCTTCTATGTCGACTGGCGAAGACATTGAGGATGACTTTGAGCGCGTTTGCTTCTTGCGCCGAAAGGTAGAGAGTCGAGCGGCGGAAATAGAGCAGCTTGTTCGCGCCGTCTCGAGCTACTACTCTAACGCCGCTAGCGCCAGTGGCCGAGAAGACCTCGATGTTGCTCCTCCTCGCGTCCGTGCACCACCGTCGGCTTGGCGAGGCGGCGATGGCGATGCATCGCCACATGCCAAATCTCGATCGAGAAAGACGAGCAACGACTCAATGTCTCGCAACTTCCTCGATCCCAGCGACGCAGAGAGCGATGCGGAGCGCAAAGGCCGAAGCCGTTCGAACAGCAAGACTCAGAAGGACTCTGGCGATGACAATAAGTCCATCAGCGGCAAGTCAACTGCAAGTCAACGTCGTGTCGCGTTTCAAGCCGGCAAGAAGAACGGCAAGGAGACCGATGCCAACCAGGAAGCCAATGGCAGTGGCTCTGACTCTCGCTTCTCAACTGCGCCCAACTCTCCGTCCGCTGGTGCTGCATCCCTCGCTCCTGGTGGTGGAGACGTACACTTGATGTTCTTGCCGACAGACACAGTCTTGAGCGCTCTAGCCCTCATTCTTCGGATCATTCCTGCCCTCAGGTTGCTGTCCGTACCTGCAACCACGCCTGAGCAGCTTCGTCGCTCTGCTTTCCGCTGCGGCCAGTGGTTGCAGCGCGCCCAGAGCACCCTTCCACAGCTCGAAGACGCTCGCGAAGCTCTCGACGAAGTCATCGTGCACGCTGAAGAAGCGAGCGAAAAGCTTGCCGAGAACTGCGTCAAGAGAATGCAGGACACGGACGAGCGCAGACGAAGCTTCTGGACAGCGAGCGCGCAAGCTGCCGTCGCTCTGATCATCAACATGCCTGCAACCGATAGCGACTGAAATTTCCACATTGCTTGGTCTACCATTTCACACTCCATTCTTGCGTTCGTTGCTATTGTAAGTGTTGTGACGACGCTTCGCGCCTCCCACGCGCTGCTGACTCCCCCCCTTTTCCCCAAAAACGCCTTCCTTGCTTCTCTCAGCCGTGGAAAGGCCGCCTGCCTAATTACACTCTTTCATCTGGCTTTGCATCCACATACCCTTCTTTGCGTGTCTTGGCCCCTTTATCTTCGTTGCTTATGGCTCCAATGAATGGACATTCCTGCCAAGTCTCGAGGCATCACTGCATCCGCTCTCTGACAAAGGCTAGATGTCGTGACGTCTGCGAAGGGTGCGTTAGGAGCAAGTTCTTCTCCCCGAGATGACGAGTCAGTCAGGCCCGCAGCGAAACGGTCCAGGTGTCATCCGCGGAAGTGTGATCCTTGACGCGCTCGCCACTTGGGCCAAAGGATGCGGCCTAAAAGCGGTACGCTGAAAATGTAGGACAGGAATCCAACGCTCACAAATCTTGAAGAAAGAGAAGCGCACTCGGGGTTTTTCACGTTCCGCTGACCTAGTTGCGTTGTGCTGCTTATGAGACTTTGGTTGGTCGAAAGGCACCGTGTGCCAAATGCAGTAGCCCCTGGCGTGACCTGTCTGAAGACAGCTGCGTCCACTACCAATGAAGTAAGGACGCTTGCCAAGCCTTTGTTCCTTCTTGGAGCTGATGGCAAGCTCTTGGCGATCAATTGAGACTGTGAGGTCGTACAATGTGCTGCTTCATCAGATCGACGTGCAAAGGCTTTGAGATTGCAGCAAGAACACTCCCACGGTGTTGCGGATCGCGTGGCGTCTCATTTGTTGCCGGTGCCACAGCCTTTTTGAGGGGGTCTCAACCACTTCAGATTGTGCTGCTTTTGCTATCCTCGACCAAAAGTTCCACTCTTCCATCCCTGCAAATCCGTCTGATTTCTACCATGGCCATATCACAGCAAGCCACTCTCCGAGTACAACAAGCCACAAGCTGCAGTGACAGCTACTGCATCCTATGGACTGGTGGGAAAACATCAAAAGATCAGGGCTCCAGTCAACAGTGGAGGCAATTGTCGCCGTTGTAATATAGAGGGGTGATATGGTTCTGATTACAGATGTGTGCATGCAAGGAGAAGCAAGGTGTATGAAAGAGTCCCAAGAGGCATGAGAGCAGTCTGAGTGCTTGCACTAGAGGCAAGATCTTTTGCAGAGTACCAACTTGCCAGCTGTCCCATGTTGGTAATATGCTCAATCAAATGTCTTGTGAGTTGTTGATGCAGGCAACATCAGCGGTGACAGCTCAGCCATGCAAAGCTTGGGTCATTCTGAGCTTTGTATACAAGAGTCTCAGGAAGCTGCTTCTATGCCTCCTGGGACTCTTCCATACACCTTGCTTCTCATTGCATGCACACATCTGTAACTGGAACCATATCACACCTCTATAGGACAACGGCAACACAATGCAGCTGGCCTCAGTGGTCTGCAGCATTCAGGAGATGAAGCGTTGTGGCAATTGTGTCAGCAGCAACACAGTGACTTAGCGCTCAGTTGTACAGATAGACGTGGTGGTCAAGCTTGTGCCAGAAGTTCGAAAACTACTGTCTCAAGCAGGAGATGCACTCAAGGGAATCAAGCACGCTGTTGAAGCAAGATTTAGGTGCTGCAAAGATTTCTATCTGACTGGGTACACCGCTGGACTATTGGAGTCTGTGCTATACATGCAAGTGGCATCCATCACTCTGCAACCACTGTCCGATGACGATTGTGTTTACATTGCGCTAAGTGTCCAAACAGATGTCGTTTCCTCTTGCAGACATCTCTGCTGGCCGTACCAAGGGTCTTCCCCTTGGGAAGCTTGATGCGCCTGATCTGCAAAACGCATCACAGAGAGTTGTGAATGGAATCAAGGAGTTCGCGTCCATGCCAAGACTCAGGAAGGACTACCTAATTGTAGCAGCTACCGCTCTCAGGCTGTCACTGCCTGTGGTGCGCTCAATGACATGATGAGGGCCTTTGGCTTCTATGAGAAACAGTCCACTAATCACCTGCTTGGCGCACTGGCTACATTACGGCTGCCAGGGCATACAAAGTAGGCATGATCAATGGCGCAAGAAGCATAAGCACACCTTCTCTAGTTGCCAGAAGGCCACATTACTATTCTGCCCTCATTCATTGAAAGTGGTGCAGGTCAAGGGCTCAGCCCCATCTGAGTCAAGAAGCAGCCATTACCTGTTACACAGACTCATGAGAATGATTTTGCACATCTGCTTGCAGAGGTTGACGGTCTCAATGACCTTTCAAAGGATGTCTTGTAGCAATTGAAAGTCCCACTGCTGGAGTAGCAACAAAGTGGATTGGCCATTTTGTGAGCAAGTTGGTTGGCTGCTAATGGTGGCTGCGGCAAGGAACTTCATGCCTACCAAGTCCAGCCCAGCAAAGAAGACCATCTCCTTGAGATCATCAACACACTCTGCAGGGTGATGCCCATTCAATCTGGCATACCTTCCAGCACCTTCAAAGTTGCTTGTGCTGGTTTCAGCTCTTTTCAATTGAGCAGCACCACCAGCAGCAACAGCAGCAGCACCAATGACAGCACCAGCAACAACAGCAGGAACAACAAAGGTGGATGTGAGTACATTGCAAAGTTGTCATGACTTGTGTCAGTGTTGAGCGCTTGTCTAACATTGCTGCGCCCATCATTGCCCAGTTGAGGACAATGGTGAGGGGGCTCAAGTTAAAGTCCTTTGCGTCATGGACAAGGGCCCTTGACTTTGACCTCACAAACAACGTGGGAAGGCACGCGTACATTGGTTCATCATGGACAGCGTTTTCTGTCATGTGACACGCGCATCATCTTAGCTTCATGTACAACTTTTGACTAGCGTCTTCTCTCTCTTCTCCACTACGATCATCATCGCAATCCATTGCATTCACAAGCCCCAAGGACAAGCGCAGATGCTGCAGAGCTATCTAGCTGAGGCTTCCTTGTTTTCTATATTTGGAACAGAACGCATGCAAGCGCTGGGAGAGTCTGACCAATGAAGAACGTCTTTTCACTACGCTGAGACCAATCAGGAAGCGCTCAAGATGCTTGAAGGGACTCAGAAGATGTTGGAGATGCTGGATGACTTCAAGGCCACAGCCATTGATGGGATCAGCAAAGCTTCATAGTACCTTGAAGCTCAGCAGGCAGTACAAACAGCATGTAGCAAGATCAAGGAGCTATATGCCTTGCCTGGCCCCATCTCAAAGGTTCTCCGCAATCAGGCAAACCAAAAGCTAGACAAAGCTGAGGCTCACCTGGCCAGCATTGTAGTCAAAGACCTTGACCTTACCCCTCAAGATGACTCTGAGGAATCCTCTACCGCTCAAGATGACTCCGAGGAATCCTCTACTGCTGAAAATGACTCTGAGCCAAAGGCTAAGAGACAGCGTCCGGAATGATCAGGTGACAACATCCGATAAGGCGCAAGCTCGCTATCAAACAGTCATCAATGGGATCAGCAAAGCTTCATAGTACCTTGAAGCTCAGCAGGCAGTACAAACAGCATGTAGCAAGATCAAGGAGCTATATGCCTTGCCTGGCCCCATCTCAAAGCTTCTCCGCAATCAGGCAAACCAAAAGCTAGATGAAGCTGAGGCTCACCTGGCCAGCATTGTAGTCAAAGACCTTGACCTTACCCCTCAAGATGACTCCAAGGAATCCTCTACCGCTCAAGATGACTCTGAGGAATCCTCTACCGCTCAAGATGACTCTGAGGAGTCCTCTACCGCTCAAGATGACTCTGAGCCAAAGGCTAAGAGACAGCATCCGGAATGATCTGGTGACGACATCAAATAAGGCGCAAGCTCTCTTTCAATGCCCTTGTCTCTGACCAAATCCGACTGTACAACTTTGAACAAAGACGCGACCCGATTCAAATTCATGTTCATTATGTGACGCACAGCACCAAACTTCAGTCGTGAAGCTTGGCAGTCAACCAAATCGCAACAAAAGATCTTGACATTTCGAAAGGGATTCCGTAGTACGTGACCTTCGACTCAAACTTTGTGGCAGAAGCGTGCCGACTGAGGGAGGAATGGCAGGATCGTGCTGTGATGCGCAGGTTGACTTGGCATCCTGCGAAGTCAGAGACGTCTGGTGGCGCAACAAGAGCCAGACCCTGAGCCAGTCGAGGTGAAGGCGCTCGACCAGATGACAGCAATGGAAGGAAAGTTGTCAGTTTTCTGCATAGCTGTTCGTTTCCAGCCGTTGTCGAAAGGGTTATTCGTGCTCTCTGTGCTTACAATCAAATCGTTGGTGTACCGATGTCGAGCCATGAGTCGGAGCTCAATCCTACATCATGGTTCACCACATATTTCGCGAGACGGCCATTGAGGTCCCGTAGCGCAGTCTCTGTCGGCGCTGCTTCTGGACCTTGCGAGGTTGCTTCAACGCGCTGACGGTGCAACAGCACCCAGTCCGAGGCTGTACTGATCCTAATGTACGCCTGAGCCCTGAGATAGCCTAGCTTGTCTTGCAACGATGCCAGATCCTTTTGGGCTTGCCTGCGCGATCGAGTATCCAGCTCCAGCTCCGCAAGGGACTTTGCCAAGGCTTCACAAGCATTCTGCATCTTCTTATGCGAGAGAAGCTGCTCCAAGTCCGTCAAGTTTCCTGCTTCGAGTTCTTGAAGACCTCGCTGAGCATTCCGACCCGATACAAACATAGCGATTTCAGAAGAAAGCTCCGCAATCACTCTTGGCAAGAGAAAGAAGCGGAACTCACAAGCTCTCGTCCGTGAGCGGAGTTGATGGCGGTTTTGGGAAGTCTTGAGCGCTTCGATCGAGCGTAGAGGCTGTTGCCGTCGGTGCTGCCAGGTTTGAGAACAAATTGCTCAAGGTAAACCTTTGGCAAAGCTTTGGTATCCTGCCATGATCGTAGCAGAGTGGAGTCAGTGTAGATAAAGGACGCTCTACGAGCGATGATATGTGCAGCATCTCCAGACATGATGAATGGCGCAAAAAGCGTGAGCTCACCTTCTCCAGTTGCCAGAAGGCCGCGTTACTATTCTGCTTTGATTGAAAGTGGTACATATCAAGAGTTCAGCCCCATCTGAGTCAAGAAATGTCTGTCACCTGCTGCACAAAACCACGGGCATGATCTTGCACATCTGCTCTCAAAAGTTAATGGTTTCAATGACCTTTCAAAGGATGTCTTCTAGTAATTGAAAGTCCCGCTGATGGAGTAGCAACAAAGTGGTTTGGCCGTTTTGTAAGCCAGTTGGTTGGCTGCTGATGGTGGCTGCGGCATGGCTGCTGGTGTACCTACAGCTGTAATACGAATTGAAGACTGTTAAGGAAGAACCCAAATGGGAGGCATTAGCCGCCCGAAGGTTTCATCTAGCATCAGCACCAGTGACGATTCTGAAACTGCTTCACTCACAGCTCGAGGTGGAGGAAGCAAGTAGGATAGCGCTGCAGTCTGTAAGGCCAAAAGATGATATCCACTGTAGCTGATCAGAAGCGTGGCTCGGATTGAGAGCAAGGACACCTTGTCGGGTGTCTTTGCCCGAGCATTTGCCGAGGCGCTCAGCTGCCTTGCGCACGGTGCGCCGCCTTGCGCACAAAATCGCTGAGTGTCGATTAGAGCAGTGGACTCACGCTGGTCGAAGTGTTCGCCCCTCCGGGCTGGTCGTCTGCTTCGGACTGAGCAGCTTGCTGTTGAATGGCAGCCGAATGTGGCAATCCTGCCGACTGGCTAATGAGCTGGCCCATACCTGCTGGCGAGTTGGAGCTTGTCTCGATGGGCGGACCAGGGAGGTACTGAAAAAAAAATTACTCTTTCTGATGACAGCGGCAAATGGCAGTCAAGAAGGGAAAGAGCTGGAAAGTGGTGCTCGGAAGAGATGAGAGTGAGACGCGTCTGGCTTGCGCTTTTGGTGACTGTGCGATGTGCTCAGGCGGGAGCGCTCAGCAGCAGTTGCAGCCAAGTGCCGTTAAGTGCTCAGACAAGAATGAATGGTGAGCTGGTCAAGAGTCCACCAATCAGAATGCGACCGCTGGCTACAGCATGGCGCGCACAGACGTCGAATCCATGCAGTCATGCGCTCCTCGGAGCGATGGGTCGCGAGGGTCAAGAGTCTTGAGTCTTGAGTGTTGGACTCATGTGGGTACGCAATTGTGCATGGCTTGGATTAGAAGCGGGTGCGAGCAGCGGCCGACCTGTGACTGACGTCCATACTCGCCAGGTACTGAGCTTACAAAACATAGCCGGTGACTCTTGACTTGTATCTCCAGTCGTGTTTATTCAGTCTTGAGTATTTACAATTGTAAATGCGGCTCTTGTCATGTTCTTGGCTGTGAGTACCGACCTCTACACGGCGCATCCGCGTGGCCCAAGCTTGGAAAAGCTGTGCGTGGCATGCAGGCCGCATTCCTCATGTTTGCTCAGGATGCATGCTCGAGCGCGCACTTGCTGGCAATCCGAATTGACTGACATGATCAAGGTGCAGGCGCACGCGTCGCGCAATACTTCAGCGAGTGCTTTTGCCTCCGCACTTCTTTCTCCTCCCACCATCTTCTCCAAACGCTCTCTCTCTCTCTACCAGCGAGAAACTGACCTCTTTTCGTTCTCCACAGACAAGATGCCGGTGAGTCGTCCACTCACTCGAGATCCTCAGTTTCATTTCGCGTGGTTCCGTACGTGTCGCTGGAGAGTTCCGGCGCATTTCGCTTCGGCGAGATCTTGCCGTACTCTTGGTAGCCAAAGCATCATGTTGATGAAGCTGGCAGAGCTTGCGCTGGCTACATGTGGTTTTAGTCCGCACATTGGATAGGCCCGAATCGAAGGACGCACGAAGACGTTGAGCTAAAGCGAAGGCCGTGACGGAGCTCGAACCTCGCTCCTATCCCGATGCCAGCCAGTCCTGATCTGTCCGCTCGCAACAAGCTTAGCAAGCACAAGACTTGTCTTGGTCGTTGGTAGCACGCGGTTTCAATCCGCACTCGAGCAGAACGAGCCGTACTTCGCACGAAGATCTCGAGCAAGTTCGTGGCCGTGCACCGGAGTAGCGTTGTTTGCACTCTGACTCGATGTCAACCAGCCTTGCTATATCAGCTCTCGCCGTACTTGGCGAGTAAGGCACTCCCTTACTTTCCAGTTTTCGCGGCTTAAGCCGGTCGCGCATCAGGTAGAGCGAGACATCCATTTCCTGAAGACCTTGAGCTAAAGCGAAGGCCAGTGCAGGTGGACACGTCTCGCTTTCTACCTTGGTGTTGAACAGCAATCAAATTGATTGCTAGTACGTCGGGTGATGTTTCGTTGCTGTCACTTGGTATTACGCCCTAACATCCGGAGCGAAAATGCCTGGAGAGGTGCCTGCCACCAAGCCAAGGGGCTTGCGACCAGAGACACGTTGTAGCAGTCACTGTCCTCGATTTGGTCAGATCATCTCTAACCATCTCTGTGTCTTCTCCCTTTGCGCTCTTGTCATCGTCGACCGCCAGGAGTCAACTCCTGCCCCGAAGGTAAGTGTTGACTGCATCGGCGATGCCGCAATCCGCGTGCCAGTCCGCTGATTCTTTGCAATGATGTTTCATTCCACGCATACACCTTCGGCATCATCGCGTACAACCGACCTTATCATCACAAACTTCTTATTCACGTCATTCATGCAACTGACCAATCTATTGATGCTCATCGGCGGACACTCATGCAACCAATCGTTTCATCGCTGCTCATGCGACCGACCGATGCATCGATGCTCATCGACTTTCATCCACCCAACCAATTCGACCATGCTCATCGTCGACGCTCACGCGACTGTCCAAATCGATCACCATTGCCCTGACATCATCAATCATCATCAATCTTTACATGGCAATGCTCATTGTCGACGCTCACGTGAATGTCCGTGGCGATGGCCGTCTCCTCACGTCTATCCCTCGCCTCTCTTGGACGGCGCTCGGCTCTCTATAGATCATATTGATCTCTCTGGTGAGCATGGTCCAGAGCTCTGTGCAGTCCAGCGAGTAACAGCTTACAGAGAGTTCCCGTCGTGGACACAGGAGGCCGTGGAGCACGTTTGCGACACCCTATATCCTGTTCAAACCAACGCAGCCTACAAGGACCTGGTGCAAGCAAGAGTACCGGTAAGTCTGACAAGGCAAGCTTGTCGAAGATTGTTTCCCTTGACACCGTGTACACCATGTCAATAGGACCAATCATCCTCGTTCTGGAAGCTGTTTGGAGTGCGTACGCTCGCATCTGCAACACCGCCGATCCATGTCTAATCACAAGCTGAACTCCAATCGCAGTCATTGTTGTCGCTCGAAAGCCTCTCTTCTGACAGGGTCAAAGAGATCACCACCAACTTTGAGCGTCATCTTCAAGGCGCAAGAGACAGAGCCAATGTGAGTGACTCTTTGCATCTACCAACAGCTCATCACTGCTA